TGACGCAAAGGTACCGATAGTGGTCAACCCATTCAAGTGTTACGCCATTATTTTGTAGTTCTTCATTTACTCCCCGCTTGTGATGGGAGTATGCCATCGTCTTGTTTGTGGAGAGAGTGAAACTGGGCTCAATACATTTCCTTCCAAGGAGTTCAATGGACTGTTCAATTTTTCCCAAGGTGGGAGCTTGTATTAGGACATCATCGGCATATCCCACTTGTGTTCCTTCCGGAAAATCAATATTTGCAATGGCGTTCATAAGTACATTGAATAGTGTAGGGCTTAAGACTCCACCTTTGGGGGTCCCGAGTTCCATATTCGTTGTTCTTGAGACTGCTCCATTGAAGCAAACCTTGGCTTTCCTCCCTGTGAGGTAGTCTTCAATCCATTTCATGAGTCTCCCCTTGACACCCATGCATGCAAGCTCGTCCAGGATCGCAATCCCCTGTGCTTTGTCGAAAGCTCCTTTGATGTCAACAAATACAGAGTACCTAGCCGTGTCATTAGCCAAGTAATTAACTATACAATTTGCTGTACTCTGTCCTTTAACAAATCCATTGACCCCCTCCCCTAACCTGCCTATTTTGTGCAACAGTCGGTTTAGGATGATCCTGTAACACTAGAAACATCACTACTATATAATCAGTCCTGATTGAGGCTCACTACCCTGTACATCTTCAGGTTCTCCAAAGAATGGTCATCAAGGGTTCTCTGCAGCCCTCCCAGACTGCTACACAATGGAGTTTTTCCTCCAACACCAGTGATGCTCCACCACTGACTCCATAGAAGCACGTGAAACTTCCCTCCACTGCTCCTCTTCACATATTGAAATTGATCCTTTACTATGGGGGCTCTGCTCCTCCAGAGTTCAACATTCACTCCTACTGCCTTGAGGTGCCATCCATTGACTTCTCCTCTGGTCTCGAAGTTCCATTAACTTCTCCACATAAACCTGCAATTCCCATTGACATGTCAATAAAAATGTTTCCCTACTGAAGTATTATAACTAAATATATTCACACACAATAAGTATCTTTACTCAACATTTCTTTAAGCTCCTGCACGCCGCGAAGAGAACTTCCCCATTCGGACGGATCCATGCTCCGCCTTCGCTAGCAGCCCTCCGCTTGCGAGGCAGCCTGTCTCAGTCACCCACCTTGCGTTAGGAGATGATGGACGTGTCATTCCGCCCTCCAGGATGTTCCTGCATCTCTACCCACTTATTTCAGCTCACTGCCCTAACAAAACGTAACTAATGTATCCATAAACACTTGCCATGATCGCTGGGCACACGATCAATCACTAACAACTGGTTAAATAGATATACCACAGAATTTTATCTTGGGCGGGGCGCGTTCAGGCCTCTGTCTCCGACATTTGGCGATCTCCGTCGCCCACAAAGTCGCTATTAAACTGCTTCACCAGCCCCTCCTGGTCCTGACTCGAGCACTAAGTCGTCCCCAGGGTTCATACACGAATTCCTGACTAGTTCCTACTCTTGACGGAGCACGAAACTAGAGATTCTTCTCTCCCTGTCGGGAGACTAAAGACAATGCAATCTTCTCTCACGACCTCTGCTACTCAAGTGACCAGCGAGCCTCACCTTGTCAGCAAAATCCCGACATCTCATGTCAAGTCACTTATATGCATGTTTATTCACTGCCCATGCTTTTAAACTCTTCATCAATCTCTGCCAAGCATTTAATATATACTCATATGTCTATATTTCCTTTGACCTCTCAATTGGGCCTGGTTTGCTGAATAACTCTCACAGGGGTAGACTCGTTTTTCAGGCCACCTGGGATCATAACAGTGTCCACTCACAGGATGAGTGACGCTGCCCAATACTGTCACTATGGCGGTGTGTTCACTCACAGGATGAGTGACGCTGCCCAATACTGTCACTGTGGCGGTGTGTTCACTCACAGGATGAGTGACGCTGCCCAATACTGTTACTGTGGCGGTGTGTTCACTCACAGGATGAGTGACGCTGTCCAATACTGTCATTATGGCGGTGTGTCCACTCACAGGATGAGTGGCGCTGCCTAATACTGTCACTATGGAGGTGTGCTCACTCAAAGGATGAGTGACGCTGCTCAATACAGTCATTATGGAGGTGTGTCCACTCACAGGATGAGTGAAGCTGCCCAATATTGTCACTATGGCGGTATGCGCACTCACAGGATGAGTGGCGCTGCCCAATACTGTCACAATGGAGGTGTGTCTCCTCACAGGATGAGTGAAGCTGCCCAATACTGTCACTATGACGGAGCCGGTCGGCCGAGCGGACAGCACGCTGGACTTGTGATCCTGTGGTCCTGGGTTCGATCCCAGGCGCCGGCGAGAAACAATGGGCAGAGTTTCTTTCACCCTATGCCCCTGTTACCTAACAGTAAAATAGGTACCTGGGTGTTAGTCAGCTGTCACGGGCTGCTTCCTGGGGGTGGAGGCCTGGTCGAGGACCGGGCCGCGGGGACACTAAAGCCCCGAAATCATCTCAAGATAACCATCTCAAGATGGCGGTATGTTCACTCACAGGATGAGTGGCGCTGCCCAATACTGTCACTATGGCGGTATGTTCACTCACAGGATGTGTGGCGCTGCCCAATACTGTCACTATGGCGGTATGTTCACTCACAGGATGAGTGGCGCTGCCCAATACTGTCACTATGGCGGTGTGTCCACTCACAGGATGTGTGGCGCTGCCCAATACTGTCACTATGGCGGTGTGTCCACTCACAGGATGAGTGAAGCTGCCCAATACTGTCACTATGGCGGTGTGTCCACTCACAGGATGAGTGGCGCTGCCAAATACTGTCACTATGGCGGTGTGTCCACTCACAGGATGAGTGAAGCTGCCCAATACTGTCACTATGGCGGTATGTTCACTCACAGGATGTGTGGCGCTGCCCAATACTGTCACTATGGCGGTATGTTCACTCACAGGATGAGTGGCGCTGCCCAATACTGTCACTATGGCGGTGTGTCCACTCACAGGATGAGTGACGCTGCCAAATACTGTCACTATGGCGGTGTGTCCACTCACAGGATGTGTGGCGCTGCCCAATACTGTCACTATGGCGGTATGTTCACTCACAGGATGAGTGGCGCTGCCCAATACTGTCACTATGGCGGTGTGTCCACTCACAGGATGTGTGGCGCTGCCCAATACTGTCACTATGGCGGTATGTTCACTCACAGGATGTGTGGCGCTGCCCAATACTGTCACTATGGCGGTATGTTCACTCACAGGATGTGTGGCGCTGCCCAATACTGTCACTATGGTGGTATGTTCACTCACAGGATGAGTGGCGCTGCCAAATACTGTCACTATGGCGGTGTGTCCACTCACAGGATGTGTGGCGCTGCCCAATACTGTCACTATGGCGGTATGTTCACTCACAGGATGTGTGGCGCTGCCCAATACTGTCACTATGGTGGTATGTTCACTCACAGGATGAGTGGCGCTGCCCAATACTGTCACTATGGCGGTATGTTCACTCACAGGATGTGTGGCGCTGCCCAATACTGTCACTATGGCGGTATGTTCACTCACAGGATGTGTGGCGCTGCCCAATACTGTCACAATGGAGGTGTGTCCACTCACAGGATGAGTAGCGCTGCCCAATACTGTCACTATGGTGGTATGTTCACTCACAGGATGTGTGGCGCTGCCCAATACTGTCACTATGGCGGTGTGTCCACTCACAGGATGTGTGGCGCTGCCCAATACTGTCACTATGGCGGTGTGTCCACTCACAGGATGAGTGGCGCTGCCCAATACTGTCACTATGGCGGTGTGTCTACTCACAGGATGAGTAGCGCTGCCCAATACTGTCACTATGGCGGTGTGTCTACTCACAGGATGAGTGGCGCTGCCCAATACTGTCACTATGGCGGTGTGTCTACTCACAGGATGAGTAGCGCTGCCCAATACTGTCACTATGGCGGTGTGTCCACTCACAGGATGAGTGGCGCTGCCCAATACTGTCACTATGGCGGTGTGTCTACTCACAGGATGAGTAGCGCTGCCCAATACTGTCACTATGGCGGTGTGTCTACTCACAGGATGAGTGGCGCTGCCCAATACTGTCACTATGGCGGTGTGTCTACTCACAGGATGAGTAGCGCTGCCCAATACTGTCACTATGGCGGTGTGTCCACTCACAGGATGAGTGGCGCTGCCCAATACTGTCACTATGGCGGTGTGTCTACTCACAGGATGAGTAGCGCTGCCCAATACTGTCACTATGGCGGTGTGTCCACTCACAGGATGAGTGGCGCTGCCAAGTAAACTTGCTTTCGTTTCTCATGTTGTTACTTACACATATTTGAATCACGTTTTTTCTTTATTCTTGCACATATTTTTCTGAATTTACCTGAGTGGACAGGTAGCCGGCGGACTGTCAAATGTCCCTCCATTTGTCCGCATGACTTTATCGAACTAAATTTTGAAATTAATCAGTGTTGTGGTATTTACGACATAGGCGGGTTTGTGTAGCACACTGGGGTTTTAACCCTATGGGTTAAAATCATTTGTTTTCTGGCCTGCATTGTGACTTGTTGAGCTTGAAGCCGTCGTTCTTTCACTGTGTTACATCTGACCTTTAAAATAAGTGTTCAGTATTTTAAATGTTTGGGTGAGATCCGCTGTGTCATGCCTTGTGCGTAGTGTTGTTAATCCTGTGGCCCTTAACCGTTCCTGGTGTGAGAGTCGACTTAGTTCAGGGATGATTTTTGTCGCTCGGGGTTGAACCTTCTCCAAAGCCGATGTGTCTCTCTGAAGGTGAATACAATGCTTGAATACAATGGTCCAAATCCTCTCAGGACCCAGAGATATATATCAGTGATATTTCACCGGAAGCTATTCCTATTCCAAGAGGCCTGTAGAGCGGTTTAGGCCATATGTGAGTCAGGCTAATAACCTTAGTTATTGGGATCAGTGTGAGAAAAGAATGTCTTTATACATACCATAGAGAGATGGACATTAAAACACATAGTAATATGTAACAATATATATTCTCAATACATTATAGAGTATAGACTGAAAGCATATATTGATATATAAATGTCTAGTATGTTAGGTGGCTGGCCATAATTGTCTAGTGTGTTAGGTAGGTGGCCATAATTGTCTAGTGTGTTAGGTAGGTGGCCATAATTGTCTAGTGTGTTAGGTGGCTGGCCATAATTGTCTAGTGTGTTAGGTGGCTGGCCATAATTGTCTAGTGTGTTAGGTGGCTGGCCATAATTGTCTAGTGTGTTAGGTGGCTGGCCATAATTGTCTAGTGTGTTAGGTAGGTGGCCATATGGCCAAAGAGGAGAGGTTCAGGCCCTGCCCCACTCCCTGCTCCTTAGTTCAACTCGTCGTATCTTCCCGCTCACAGTCTTGGGGAGGGCGTCCACGAACTCCACCTGTAATTACATACCTTTACCTGCGTCTAACAAATATTTTATAATAAACAATGATTTTGTCGCTGCAAGGATCATAGTAACACGAATGGTATTAAAAGCAGCAACAGGAATGTAACAGTAAGAAGTAGTGAAGGGGCATAAAATAGTAAAAGAGGGTGGGGAGGCATTTAATAGTAATTGGGGTGAGGGGCATTTATTTTTTAACAGGGGGCAACTGCTCCCATCCATGCAGCCACCCTATAGCCAGGAAAACGGCAAAAACCCGGAAGCCTTTATCCAGGACAATATCAACCATCTATCAGCCTATATCCAGGACAATATCAACCATCTATCAGCCTATATCCAGGACAATGGCTACTATCTATCAGCCTATATCCAGGACAATTTCAACCATCTATCAGCCTATATCCAGGACAATGGCTACTATCTATCAGCCTATATCCAGGACAATTTCAACCATCTATCAGCCTATATCCAGGACAATGGCTACTATCTATCAGCCTATATCCAGGACAATGCTAACCATCTATCAGCCTATATCCAGGACAATTTCAACCATCTATCAGCCTATATCCAGGACAATGGCTACTATCTATCAGCCTATATCCAGGGCAATGCAAATCCACTAGTCTATATGCAGGACAATGTCAACCATCCTTCATCCTATATGCAGGACAACGACGACCATTAGCCTCTATCGAGGACAATTACAACCATCAAGCAGCTTATATCCAGGACAACAGCAGTCACCCAGCACAATGTAACCAGGACAACACCAGTCACCCAGCACAATGTAACCAGGACAACAGCAGTCACCCAGCACAATGTAACCAGGACAACAGCAGTCACCCAGCACAATGTAACCAGGACAACAGCAGTCACCCAGCACAATGTAACCAGGACAACACCAGTCACCCAGCACAATGTAACCAGGACAACAGCAGTCACCCAGCACAATGTAACCAGGACAACACCAGTCACCCAGCACAATGTAACCAGGACAACACCAGTCACCCAGCACAATGTAACCAGGACAACAGCAGTCACCCAGCACAATGTAACCAGGACAACAGCAGTCACCCAGCACAATGTAACCAGGACAACAGCAGTCACCCAGCACAATGTAACCAGGACAACACCAGTCACCCAGCACAATGTAACCAGGACAACAGCAGTCACCCAGCACAATGTAACCAGGACAACAGCAGTCACCCAGCACAATGTAACCAGGACAACACCAGTCACCCAGCACAATGTAACCAGGACAACACCAGTCACCCAGCACAATGTAACCAGGACAACAGCAGTCACCCAGCATAATGTAACCAGGACAACAGCAGTCACCCAGCACAATGTAACCAGGACAACACCAGTCACCCAGCACAATGTAACCAGGACAACAGCAGTCACCCAGCACAATGTAACCAGGACAACAGCAGTCACCCAGCATAATGTAACCAGGACAACAGCAGTCACCCAGCACAATGTAACCAGGACAACAGCAGTCACCCAGCACAATGTAACCAGGACAACAGCAGTCACCCAGCATAATGTAACCAGGACAACAGCAGTCACCCAGCACAATGTAACCAGGACAACAGCAGTCACCCAGCACAATGTAACCAGGACAACACCAGTCACCCAGCACAATGTAACCAGGACAACAGCAGTCACCCAGCACAATGTAACCAGGACAACAGCAGTCACCCAGCACAATGTAACCAGGACAACAGCAGTCACCCAGCACAATGTAACCAGGACAACAGCAGTCACCCAGCACAATGTAACCAGGACAACAGCAGTCACCCAGCACAATGTAACCAGGACAACAGCAGTCACCCAGCACAATGTAACCAGGACAACAGCAGTCACCCAGCATAATGTAACCAGGACAACAGCAGTCACCCAGCATAATGTAGCCAGGACAACGGCAGTCACCCAGCACAATGTAACCAGGACAACAGCAGTCACCCAGCACAATGTAACCAGGACAACAGCAGTCACCCAGCACAATGTAACCAGGACAACAGCAGTCACCCAGCACAATGTAACCAGGACAACAGCAGTCACCCAGCACAATGTAACCAGGACAACAGCAGTCACCCAGCACAATGTAACCAGGACAACAGCAGTCACCCAGCACAATGTAACCAGGACAACAGCAGTCACCCAGCACAATGTAACCAGGACAACAGCAGTCACCCAGCACAATGTAACCAGGACAACAGCAGTCACCCAGCATAATGTAGCCAGGACAACAGCAGTCACCCAGCACAATGTAACCAGGACAACAGCAGTCACCCAGCATAATGTAGCCAGGACAACAGCAGTCACCCAGCAGAATGTAACCAGGACAACAGCAGTCACCCAGCATAATGTAACCAGGACAACAGCAGTCACCCAGCATAATGTAGCCAGGACAACGGCAGTCACCCAGCACAATGTAGCCAGGACAACACCAGTCACCCAGCACAATGTAGCCAGGACAACACCAGTCACCCAGCACAATGTTACCAAGACAACGGCAGTCAGTAACCAGGACAACACCAGTCACCCAGCACAATGTAACCAGGACAACACCAGTCACCCAGCACAATGTAACTAGGACAACGGCAGTCACCCAGCACAATGTAACCAGGACAACAGCAGTCACCCAGCACAATGTAACCAGGACAACACCAGTCACCCAGCACAATGTAACTAGGACAACGGCAGTCACCCAGCACAATGTAACCAGGACAACAGCAGTCACCCAGCACAATGTAACCAGGACAACAGCAGTCACCCAGCATAATGTAACCAGGACAACACCAGTCACCCAGCACAATGTAACTAGGACAACGGCAGTCACCCAGCACAATGTAACCAGGACAACAGCAGTCACCCAGCACAATGTAACCAGGACAACACCAGTCACCCAGCACAATGTAACCAGGACAACACCAGTCACCCAGCACAATGTAACTAGGACAACGGCAGTCACCCAGCACAATGTAACCAGGACAACAGCAGTCACCCAGCACAATGTAACCAGGACAACAGCAGTCACCCAGCATAATGTAACCAGGACAACAGCAGTCACCCAGCACAATGTAACCAGGACAACAGCAGTCACCCAGCACAATGTAACCAGGACAACGGCAGTCACCCAGCACAATGTAACCAGGACAACACCAGTCACCCAGCACAATGTAACTAGGACAACGGCAGTCACCCAGCATAATGTAACCAGGACAACAGCAGTCACCCAGCACAATGTAACCAGGACAACACCAGTCACCCAGCATAATGTAGCCAGGACAACAGCAGTCACCCAGCATAATGTAACCAGGACAACAGCAGTCACCCAGCATAATGTAACCAGGACAACACCAGTCACCCAGCATAATGTAGCCAGGACAACGGCAGTCAGTCATTTTTATATATTGATAAAAATCCTTTCTTTTTCACTGTCGGTAATTAAATTTGCTCCATGTTTGCTCTTGAATTTGCTCACTGTAGCGTATTTGTCGTGTCTTTCTAATTCATAATATTATTTAGAGCGTATTGGTTGGTGGTTGAAAATAAAGGTGGTGGTGTTGTCGGCAAATAGTATAATGCTAAGAAGGTTAGAGACATTTATATCAAGACTGTGTTCACTTTTGTTGGGAAACTCTGGAGGGCGTCGTTGAGGTAAACGTTGAACTACTCTCTGGAGGTCGTCGTTGAGGTAAACGTTGAACTACTCTCTGGAGGTCGTCGTTGAGGTAAACGTTGAACTACTCTCTGGAGGGCGTCGTTGAGGTAAACGTTGAACTACTCTCTGGAGGTCGTCGTTGAGGTAAACGTTGAACTACTCTCTGGAGGTCGTCGTTGAGGTAAACGTTGAACTACTCTCTGGAGGTCGTCGTTGAGGTAAACGTTGAACTACTCTCTGGAGGGCGTCGTTGAGGTAGTTGTGTTCATACCCAAAATATGTACTGAAAATTTCTTTAGCATGTGAGGCTGGGACATCCTAGGCACCTATTCCAGTCGCTCATAATAACTTAAAACAGTGCCTGACCCAGGAAAATTATCACAGGTGAAAGGAAGGGGCCATTTTAAATGCCTTTTCTGTTTGAAATATATGCAAACAGCTTTTGAAAATATCTGCAATGTAGCAGCTATCCTGCCTCTGTGAGAGGACCACTTGTAAATGAACAAAACAATACCCAGTACTAGTGTAAAAACTCTGAAAAGTACATATGATGTTTGAAAATAATATGAAAATGTGTGTTAAATGTAGAAACCTAGAATAAAGCCCAAGAAACTGGCATAAAGGATTATGATAAAAACGATGGTTTTCAATCTACGAATACTTGTCCAGCCGCCATTGGAATCGTTTAGTTTGGCTACGACTTGCTGGCTTGAAAATTTTGGGTACTTGACAGGTCAGTGGTCGACCTGTTTCTATTATTCAGTCTTGTTGCGACCTAGAGTTGCAGTTGCAGCAAATGCAAGTTGCAGCCATTCATTGTCTTGCAAGTCAGGACAACAAGATCGCCAACAACAAACAACAAGATCGGCAACAAGAAACAAATTTGCTATGTTTCAAACCCGGTTCTAAAGGGGACAGTTCATGTCATTAAGATTGCGTGACATGTCCCTTCATTTGCAGCCATCACCGTGCCTGAAATTCAAGACATCAAGTTTCCCCGGATCTAAATACATTCCTTGAAATACTCTTTCCTGCAGCTGCTTCGTGTCGTGAGTTTAGTGGAGCAGTTCTCAAAAGCGGCTAAATCGGAATGAAACGTAGTGGATGGTCGTGGCTGCTTCCACCTGTTGCAAAGCTGTGGGGACTTGTCTCCATGTTGGTGGCCATCATTCTGTATGTGCTCTGTATGTATGTTATTCTTTTCTTAGTTAGCGAGTAAAGCTCTCTGTTGTAATACAATGTCCCTGTTATGCAGACACGTTTACTTAAATCCTTAAAATTTACATGAATTTTACTTTTCTTCAGCTTTCCTGGACGTGAGGAGATTTGTATGGAAGGGATCTTTCTAAATGCCGTTTCTGTTGCGGCAGCGAGATTGGCATGCAACAGACAGGATGTGGCCGGTGTGGCGCCAGCACGAGCACGGTGGCGCCACGCTCATGACGTTTTTGTCAATGCATCTCGTCTCCTTCCAGGACTTAGTCTCTACTCCTTGAAACATATTAGCTTACTGTACAAAGTCATATTATGGTGCTAATCTAGAATAACGTTTCCTTAAATTTTGATGGATTTCCATGTTGATGTCGCAGTTGACGCCTGGTAAAGTTGACATTTTTCGCCCCGTGGGAGTGGAACGTTAAGTTCCTATAAGCATCTTGATTTAGTATGTTTTGTGTACAACATACCAAGCGTGGAGTAACCACCACGGAGTTTATTCTGTAGTAATTGTCATATGTCTCATTATTCTAATTTGTCTCACTTCTCAATATTTTGATAACATTTATTTTACAACATTTAAACTTTAGCGAAAAACACTTTATCTGTGCCTTTTCAGTTTCTCAGAGAATATTCAGCCTTTGTTATTTTGAAAATTATTCTGAGTAGTTATATGTCGTGCCACTTTGGGACAAGTACTGACGCCCATCAGGCAATCTTAAGTCCTGGCTTAGAAACCAATCAGTTTTATTAAGTTTAAATTTTCCCAGGAGACTGACTTTGCCAATCAGTCTTATTAATTTCAGTAAAGTAAAATATCCAATAAAGCTATTTGTATACCTTAGATGTTAAGGCTATTAAACACAAACAGTTATCATTCCAGTTAGCATTAAACCTAGTATAAAATTATTCGTCCCGTGTTAACCCTTTCATTAGGCATATTGTAACTTTGATGTCTTATTCTTTCGGGGTTGACGCAACTGCAGTGATTTGCATCCAGATAAAAGATCGACACCGTCATGCAAGCTATAATTGTTATCCCATCAGGTCTTGCCCTCAGCAATGTCGGTTGAGGAAAAAAACTTGTACCCTCGCGCAGTAATCTTCATAATTTACCTTCCTTGGGTATTTGTAGGGAGCGGTGGAGCGCTTGACGTGATCCTGCAGCGCCACCACCAGGTCCGCAGGCTCCTGGTCCTTGTAGTCGGCGGCCAGCACCACAAATGCCTTCACCACCTCACCCCTCAGAGCGTCGGGGGACGACACTACAGCTGACTCCACAACTGCTGGGTGCTCCAGTAAGGCAGATTCCACCTCAAACGGTCCGATGCGATACCTACAAATTGTTTTATATATATAATAATATATATATAGAATATATATATATATAAGTCAAGAAAACCATACGTAATATTGAGAAGATTCGTGTAAAAATAATTAATCTTACTTTTTCGGTCATATTTAATAATATATGTCTACAGGAAAGACTGCTACCAAAATATACTAATATATATATATATATATATATATATATATATATATATATATATATATATATATATATATATATATATATATATATATATATATATATATATATATGTCGTACCTAGTAGCCAGAACGTACTTCTCAGCCTACTATGCAAGGCCCGATTTGCCTAATAAGCCAAGTTTTCCTGAATTAATATATTTTCTCTAATTTTTTTCTTATGACATGATAAAGCTACCTATTTCATTATGTATGAGGTCAATTTTTTTATTGGAGTTAAAATTAACGTAGATATATGACCGAACCTAACCAACCCTACCTAACCTAACCTAACCTATCTTTATAGGTTAGGTTAGGTTAGGTAGCCGAAAAAGTTAGGTTAGGTTAGGTTAGGTAGGTTAGGTAGTCGAAAAAACATTAATTCATGAAAACTTGGCTTATTAGGAAAATCGGGCCTTGCATAGTAGGCTGAGAAGTGCGTTCTGGCTACTAGGTACGACATATATATATATATATTTTTAGTTAGTTTTTAACTCAACGTTAGTTTTAACTCAAATTTAAACAAATTACCTTATACATAATGAAATAGCCAGATTTATCATTTCATAAGAAAAAAATAAAAAAAATATATAAATTCAGGAAAACTTGGCTTATTAGGCAAATTAGGCCTTGCATAGTAGGCCGAGTGCGAGAGCCACACATACCCAGTGCATCAACATGGTGCAGGAGCCACACATACCCAGTGCATCAACAAGGAGCGGGAGCCAGACATACCCAGTGCACCAACATGGAGCGGGAGCCACACAAACCCAGTGCACCAACATGGAACGGGAGCCAGACATACCCAGTGCATCAACAAGGAGCGGGAGCCACACAAACCCAGTGCACCAACATGGAGCGGGAGCCATACAAACCCAGTGCACCAACAAGGAGTGGGAGCCAGACATACCCAGTGCATCAACAAGGAGCGGGAGCCACACATACCCAGTGCATCAACAAGGAGCGGGAGCCACACAAACCCAGTGCACCAACATGGAGCGGGAGCCAGACATACCCAGTGCATCAACAAGGAGCGGGAGCCACACAAACCCAGTGCACCAACAAGGAGCGGGAGCCACACAAACCCAGTGCACCAACAAGGAGCTGGAGCCAGACATACCCAGTGCATCAACAAGGAGCGGGAGCCACACATACCCAGTGCATCAACAAGGAGCGGGAGCCACACAAACCCAGTGCACCAACAAGGAGCGGGAGCCAGACATACCCAGTGCACCAACAAGGAGCGGGAGCCACACATACCCAGTGCACCAACAAGGAGCGGGAGCCACACAAACCCAGTGCACCAACAAGGAGCGGGAGCCACACATACCCAGTGCACCAACAAGGAGCGGGAGCCACACATACCCAGTGCACCAACAAGGAGCGGGAGCCACACATACCCAGTGCACCAACATGGAGCGGGAGCCACACAAACCCAGTGCACCAACAAGGAGCGGGAGCCAGACATACCCAGCGCACCAACAAGGAGCGGGAGCCAGACATACCCAGTGCACCAACACGGAGCGGGAGCCACACATACCCAGTGCACCAACAAGGAGCGGGAGCCACACATACCCAGTGCACCAACAAGGAGCGGGAGCCACACATACCCAGTGCATCAACAAGGAGCGGGAGCCACACATACCCAGTGCATCAACAAGGAGCAGGAGCCAGACATACCCAGTGCACCAACAAGGAGCGGAAGCCACACAACCCAGTGCACCAACAAGGAGCGGGAGCCACACATACCCAGTGCACCAACAAGGAGCGGGAGCCAGACATACCCAGTGCACCAACAAGGAGCGGGAGCCACATAAACCCAGTGCACCAACAAGGAGCGGGAGCCACACATACCCAGTGCATCAACAAGGAGCGGGAGCCACACATACCCAGTGCACCAACAAGGAGCGGGAGCCACACATACCAAGTGCACCAACAAGGAGCGGGAGCCTCACAAACCCAGTGCACCAACAAGGAGCGGGAGCCACACATACCCAGTGCACCAACAAGGAGCGGGAGCCACACATACCCAGTGCACCAACAAGGAGCGGGAGCCAGACATACCCAGTGCACCAACAAGGAGCGGGAGCCACACAAACCCAGTGCATCAACAAGGAGCGGGAGCCACACATACCCAGTGCATCAACAAGGAGCGGGAGCCACACATACCCAGTGCAACAACAAGGAGCGGGAGCCACACATACCCAGTGCACCAACAAGGAGCGGGAGCCACACAAACCCAGTGCACCAACAAGGAGCGGGAGCCACTCATACCCAGTGCACCAACAAGGAGCGGGAGCCAGACATACCCAGTGCACCAACAAGGAGCGGGAGATATATATATATATATATATATATATATATATATATATATATATATATATATATGCAAACAAGCCTGAATGGTCCCCAGGACTATATACAACTGAAAACTCACACCCCAGAAGTGACTCGAACCCATACTCCCACAACTGGTATGTACAGGGACGCCTTAATCCGCTTGACCATCACGACCGGACATAAGGAAGTGATAGCCGAGGCTATATGAACCACTTCCCCGCCGGCACTCGGATGGTAATCTTGGGCATAGCATTTTATCAAATCACCTCATTCTTTGGGGCACACGTGAGGAACACAAATGCAAACAAGCCTGAATGGTCCCCAGGACTATATACAACTGAAAACTCACACCCCAGAAGTGACTCGAACCCATACTCCCACAACTGGTATGTACAGGGACGCCTTAATCCGCTTGACCATCACGACCGGACATAAGGAAGTGATAGCCGAGGCTATATGAACCACTTCCCCGCCGGCACTCGGATGGTAATCTTGGGCATAGCATTTTATCAAATCACCTCATTCTTTGGGGCACACGTGAGGAACACAAATGCAAACAAGCCTGAATGGTCCCCAGGACTATATACAACTGAAAACTCACACCCCAGAAGTGACTCGAACCCATACTCCCACAACTGGTATGTACAGGGACGCCTTAATCCGCTTGACCATCACGACCGGACATAAGGAAGTGATAGCCGAGGCTATATGAACCACTTCCCCGCCGGCACTCGGATGGTAATCTTGGGCATAGCATTTTATCAAATCACCTCATTCTTTGGGGCACACGTGAGGAACACAAATGCAAACAAGCCTGAATGGTCCCCAGGACTATATACAACTGAAAACTCACACCCCAGAAGTGACTCGAACCCATACTCCCACAACTGGTATGTACAGGGACGCCTTAATCCGCTTGACCATCACGACCGGACATAAGGAAGTGATAGCCGAGGCTATATGAACCACTTCCCCGCCGGCACTCGGATGGTAATCTTGGGCATAGCATTTTATCAAATCACCTCATTCTTTGGGGCACACGTGAGGAACACAAATGCAAAACAAGCCTGAATGGTCCCCCAGGACTATATACAACTGAAAACTCCGGTCGTGATGGTCAAGCGGATTAAGGCGTCCCTGTACATACCAGTTGTGGGAGTATGGGTTCGAGTCACTTCTGGGGTGTGAGTTTTCAGTTGTATATAGTCCTGGGGACCATTCAGGCTTGTTTGCATTTGTGTTCCTCACGTGTGCCCCAAAGAATGAGGTGATTTGATAAAATGCTATGCCCAAGATTACCATCCGAGTGCCGGCGGGGAAGTGGTTCATATAGCCTCGGCTATCACTTCCTTATGTCCGGTCGTGATGGTCAAGCGGATTAAGGCGTCCCTGTACATACCAGTTGTGGGAGTATGGGTTCGAGTCACTTCTGGGGTGTGAGTTTTCAGTTGTATATAGTCCTGGGGACCATTCAGGCTTGTTTGCATTTGTGTTCCTCACGTGTGCCCCAAAGAATGAGGTGATTTGATAAAATGCTATGCCCAAGATTACCATCCGAGTGCCGGCGGGGAAGTGGTTCATATAGCCTCGGCTATCACTTCCTTATGTCCGGTCGTGATGGTCAAGCGGATTAAGGCGTCCCTGTACATACCAGTTGTGGGAGTATGGGTTCGAGTCACTTCTGGGGTGTGAGTTTCAGTTGTATATAGTCTTGGGGACCATTCAGGCTTGTTTGCATTTGTGTTCCTCACGTGTGCCCCAAAGAATGAGGTGATTTGATAAAATGCTATGCCCAAGATTACCATCCGAGTGCCGGCGGGGAAGTGGTTCATATAGCCTCGGCTATCACTTCCTTATGTCCGGTCGTGATGGTCAAGCGGATTAAGGCGTCCCTGTACATACCAGTTGTGGGGAGTATGGGTTCGAGTCACTTCTGGGGTGTGAGTTTTCAGTTGTATATAGTCCTGGGGACCATTCAGGCTTGTTTGCATTTGTGTTCCTCACGTGTGCCCCAAAGAATGAGGTGATTTGATAAAATGCTATGCCCAAGATTACCATCCGAGTGCCGGCGGGGAAGTGGTTCATATAGCCTCGGCTATCACTTCCTTATGTCCGGTCGTGATGGTCAAGCGGATTAAGGCGTCCCTGTACATACCAGTTGTGGGAGTATGGGTTCGAGTCACTTCTGGGGTGTGAGTTTTCAGTTGTATATAGTCCTGGGGACCATTCAGGCTTGTTTGCATTTGTGTTCCTCACGTGTGCCCCAAAGAATGAGGTGATTTGATAAAATGCTATGCCCAAGATTACCATCCGAGTGCCGGCGGGGAAGTGGTTCATATAGCCTCGGCTATCACTTCCTTATGTCCGGTCGTGATGGTCAAGCGGATTAAGGCGTCCCTGTACATACCAGTTGTGGGAGTATGGGTTCGAGTCACTTCTGGGGTGTGAGTTTTCAGTTATATATATAT